AACAACTAGTAACGTTAGAAAAACTACAACACCACAAACAGAACAACAGGCACGCCGCACACACTTGTTTAAGAGTAGTAGACGTTACGTTTCGATGGCGAGCGCGAGACGCCGAGATGGATTTATTGATGGACAGTGTTGTATTGTGTGAGAGATTATTTATAAGTGACAATGTTAGTGTGAAACTGAACACTACAGTATTTAAAAAAAACATTTGCACAAAGCAAGCCGATCCACTTTTCCATGTTGATAAGAGCATTAAAATGAGAAACCCTGACAAGCAATAATATAATTTATAATATAATACCAACATATAAACACGACATCACGTCACAATTTGTTTAGTTAGTTACCGTCTCTAAAAATGTTTGGTTGTCTTTTCAACATGGATTCGTTTAGCAGATATTATTATTGACCGAGGCTCGCTCAACTGTGATTGGAGGACAGAACAAAAAGGGGCGGGGCTTATGAAGGATTAATAAGGGCTCGCTGCCTCTTGCAAAACCCAAAGATACTCAGTTTACTGTCTTAGAAGGAATTAAATTAACTCATGGAACCAGTTCCTGTTTTTCTGTTTTAGGCTGTTTGATTGAAAACTGAATAAATAATATTTGATTTCATCTTTTGAATCTGTGTGAAGCTTCTTCAGCAGTAAATGATGGAACAGATATTCTGACTTTGTGTGTTTTCCCGGCAGAGATGATGGATGAGAAGAAGAGTCGAGGCGTCGTGGCCTTGGTGTTCCTCCTCACGGCGAGTTTGTCGGGCGGCGGCGGGTCGGCCGGCTCGGACTGCGGCCCGTCCACCGCGGAGACAAACGGCGCGGCGCGTTTACTGTCGGCTGCGGTCGACTCGCAGAGAGCCGAGCAGAGCCAGAGGCAGCACCTGGAGGCTCTGTTCAACAGGTGAGACACTCTTTAGACTCAGTCACATTTCCTGCTCGCAGCTCCACACATACAAAGATTCACTTCAGTTTTTGCTTTACCTTAATAAAAACTGAAATATAAAATCTCACTTTTTTGCTGACAATTTCAACACTTAGCTGGAAAAATATTCAAATTAAAATAATTGTGATTCGTCGCATTAAATCCGACAATACTGACGAATAATAATTTGATGTTTGAATTGAATTCTGTAGATGATAAAAACTGATGGATAATGTTTTAAACTGAGCTGTGACTGAAGATTTTATAATTAACACATTTTTCTATTTAACAAATGAAGCAAAATGGCAGAACTTTGATTAAAATCAGTTACTACAGACATAATCTAATTATAGGGATCAATTATTGGCAGCTAGAACTTTGAGAAAAATATTAAAGTTAGAAAAAAAATTGAAAATTGAAGTAGTTGTATTTTGCTAGTTAAATGCTTTTATTGTGAAGCTGCAGGGATCCCTCTGGTGGCTGTTCATCATCGACCATCACGGTGGGATCGAAGTTAAAATAATTAACTGATTAACAATAATATTTAATATTGTATTATTTTTTAAATTCTCTACAATTTTCAGTTTGGTTTCTGTTCAGGTTAAAAAATAAACTGGAAACATTTATTATAAATAATAGTGTTTATAAAACGTGTTTCTTTTTACTGTAGATACAAAATATAAACTATTTACTTCAAGTAAATATTTTATATTAAAGGACTTTTAAAAATGGTGCGAGTCATCAATAAATAAACATGTTCAATATTTAAAGTCTAATATTGAATCCAGTGAAATATTAATGATTTGTGTATAAATAGCAGTAAAACCTCTGGACTGATGTTGGCGGGTCATAGAAGAACTCTTGTGTCAGCAGTTATTTCGTACTGATTATTGATTATTGATTATTGTTTGTATTGTTTCAGATACGGAGAGAACGGCACCATCTCTCTGGCCGGGTTAAAGCGCCTCCTACAGAACGTGGGTTTGGATCGCATCAGGACCGTGATGGTGCAACATCACGAGCAAGCGGGCCACCACGACCACAATCACCATCATCATCATCATCACAACCACCACGAAGGCCACCGTCACCACGACGACAACTCGCATCACCAGAAACACGTTCACACCGAAGCCTCGCATCCCAGAAAGACCCCTGAAGACCAGCACAGCCACGACGACCTGCGTGAAAGGAAGACCACGGCGGCTCAGGAGGTCAGTGCCACGGCGGCGTACAGCGCCCAGCTGAGACTAAACGGCCCTGAAACCACCAGACGGGTCACTGAAAGCCAGACACAGGCAGCTGCCGTCAGCCGGGGGGATCACGACCACGACCATGATCACGACCATGACCACGACCATGATCACGATCACGACCATGGCCATGGCCATGAGGACCTTCCTCACAACCGAAGCGCGGACAGCGTAGAGGTACGACATTAGCTTCTCATCGACAGCTGTGTTGTTGGAAAATATTGATTATCTGTCAACAAAAACTGAGTTTATGGGTAAAAAAACATTTTGTTTTAATACTTTATTGTGAAGAAAATATAATATAATCAACAGCTTTAGAAAAGGTTGATGGAAAAGGAAACTGGGACAGCTGTGGAGCTCAGGAGACAGAGCAGGTCGTCCAATATGGACAGCGAGCTCACAGCTTTAATAAAGAAAATAAACTCACCAAATGTCAAGAAGGGAAAAGAAAAACACAGATTTCCCTCATCAAACAGAAAAGTACAACCGTACACCGTCTGAATGAAAGTTTAAAGACCTTGTTCTTAATCTGAGAACACAAAATAAACCGTCTCTATTAGTCTTTACACTGCCCTCTCCTCTCAGTCAGAGTCCTGGTTGGAGCCTCTGTGAATCACCTTGTTACTGTATTCCCTGTTGTTAAACTAGTGGAAATAAACCTTTGACTGCAGTCAGATGTGAAAACACACTGGCTCTACAGCTGTTCTCTGGCTCAGTGTGTGAACTGCACCGCTGAACGTCTGTCACTGAGCGTGTCCTTGAGCGAGATACTGAATGTTCTCCCGATGCCGTGCTATCGCTGTGTGAGTGGGTGTGAAAGTCCATTTCACTCAAAGTAACATTAACAACTTACATTTAATTAGTTGGAATTCATTTGAACTGAAAATAGGCATCAGACGATATGTCACAAATATCCTGCCCAGAATAATCACGATATTATAACAGTAAGCTTCAAAATAAAACTCCTAAAATGACACTAAAACACACTGGAATCTGTTCATTACATCTTTATTGCACCACATTGGTTTAGGATTGTGAGCTGTGAGGATATTCACGATTATCCTGTTTCTTATCGTGATACATGATAATATTCATATATATCGTCCCATCAGTAACTGAGAATGTGCTTGTCGTCAGGATTCTTTCAGTTTTTGAGTGAAGAACCAACAGTAGTGTCAGTGTCTGTACAGGAGTAGTCCTTTAAACCTCCAGTGACTCTTCATGTATGTGTGTTCTTCCCTCCAGTGTCAGAACGCCTCCAGCATCCTCTCCTCACATGGGATGTCTCAGGTGGTGGGTATGACCCTCAGTGACTTCAGCTTCCTCTGCCCCGCCCTCCTCAACCAGATTGATGGCGGCGCGTGCATCCAGCACGGAGGACGCGAGGAGAGAGGTAGGAGGGTGTTCAAGAAGCCGCAGACTTCGTGTAATAAATTGCACCCACCTCGTGATGTGGATGTGCTGTTTCTTTGGTCCATGCTACACCCTTTCAGCAAAACTGGGCCAGTAGCAAACACAGAAACTCCTGGGTGGAGATACACTGACTCAGTGACACACCTGGAGGGTTAAAGCTTTGACGATCCAGATTTACCCGTTTACACTGCTAACAGCCTGGCACAGTGAACAGGAAGTGTTATGAAGTATGTAAAGGGCTGTTTTTGTTTTGTGTTGAATGTCAGTACAAAGCTTTATGTTGCAGAGCTGTTCCTTCTGAACTACAGTCAGTGTGTGCTCTTATAGACATCCTGCCTGTTGCTGGAAGGGTGTCAAAATAAAAGATATGAAAAAGAAAAGGCATTATCAAAACAAAAGCTCAAAAGTTGTCTTTTACAAAACTAGATTGATTAACTCTCTCTTTCATTTTTAGACCATAAGCATGGTCACGGTCACCATGGTGACCACAACAACTCGCACCACAATCACGGCGAGCGCTCTGAAAGCGGCAAAAGCATCACAATAGGTAAGATGGTGAACGAGGTTAAACACAAACGCTCGGTTTCACACAATATTTGTACGTTTTTCATTTCTGCCTTTTGAATTGTGGAGAAGTGAGATGAAGTGTTTGTGTGTTGCAGCGTGGGTCGGCGGGTTCATCTCCATCACGGTCATCAGCCTGCTGTCTCTGCTCGGCGTCGTCCTCATCCCGCTCATGAACAGAGTTTTCTTCAAGTTCCTCCTCAGCTTCCTGGTGGCGCTGGCCGTCGGCACTCTGAGCGGAGACGCCTTCCTCCACCTCATCCCCCACGTGAGTCGCCGTTTGTTTAGAGCTCCACTTTCTTTACATGTCTTTGAGCGACCTCACGTTGTCAGTCCTGTCGGGTCAAATTCAAATTTTGAGAAAAGGATTTCAACACGACAAACGCTGCAGTTTAAAGGTCCAGTGTGTAACATTGAGGAGCATCTATTGTCAGAAATATAGTATAACATTCATAGGTATGTTTTCATCAGTGTTTAATCACCTGAATATAGCTGTTGTGTGTGTTTGTGTTACCTTAGAATGAGACCTTCATGTGTGTTTGGCTGCACTGTTTTGCAATTTTCCATATAAACTGCAGATTCTTTGCACAGTATGGAGGTTGTTAAAGTTTCCTAGTGACTGTAGGGAAGTGTTGGCATTTTCATCACCTAACATTACATTTCTTTTGTCCTGCTTCAGTCTCAGGGAGGCCACCATCACCACCACGAGGATTCTGGCATGAATTTCTCTGAGGGACATCACCACCATGACGAGCGAGAGGAAAACCTGGACGCTGTGTGGAAGGGTCTGACGGCTCTGAGCGGAGTCTACTTCATGTTTCTGATCGAACACTTCCTGACGCTGGGAAAAATGTACAAAGACAAGAAACAAAAGGTCAAAGTTTGATCCGTTTCTTTCCATGTTGGGTTTGTGAAAACGGGTAATAATAAAGTTTTTATTTTAAAACACTTCCTAAAGCAACATCCTGTTACTGTATGAATGGATCGATGTCAGTCCCTGCAGGATTTCACAGCAAATGTAATAATAGTTGGTATTTTTTAGTATTAAATAAAAAATCAGAAGACAGGAGAAGGCGCACACAGTTTGTCACACTATTGGCCTTAATGGTTGTGATTGAAACTTTACAATATGATTTTTAAAACTGTTATTTGCAGTTAAAATTCCATGGCAGGTGATTGTGAGTATTTGCATCTGGCTTTGATTTTGGATTTTTGAGGTCTACACACTTCCTCTGGAGACTGTAATCGCCATGGAAACACAAGTTTGAGTGTACTGGTGTTGTTGCTGTGGTCGTTGTGTTGTCTGAAATAAAAACAAGGTTTTCCTGCCGTCCGAGCAGATCCAGAAGAAGTGGGACCAGAACGACAAAGCAGATCCAGAGAAGCAGCCGGCTCTGCAAGAGAACGACCTGAAGCCGACTGAAGGTGGGGCGACGAGTCTGAGATGAAGGAAAATGGCCCGCTATAAAATAAACGTTTAGCATTGAACAGAAAGATTTTATTCTTTAAAAATGACACAAAAAGATAAGTTATCATAATTGTTGGCAATTACTTTAATAGTCTACTAACCAACTAATTGTTGGAGCTCTACTTTATATATTATGACTGTTATATCTCTGTTTAAATCTCCTTGCTGACAGAATGTATGTAAGAGCAGCTCAAAGTCGACGTACCTGTGTAAGACTAGTCAGGTGTTTCTGTGTAATCCTGCTTTGTTGTTGTGGTGACCTCGTTGTCTTTCTCCAGATGTGGAGACGAATGGTGCCGGTATGTTCGGCGACCACCCGAGCGGCCTGCAGGGCGGCGTGGCGGAGGAGGAGCAGGTGATGCTGGCGCCGCAGGTGTCCGTCGTCACGCCGGGTTACAGCGGAGCGTCGGGGGCCGCGGCCTACACCGCCGAGGACTGCGAGAACAAGTGCCACTCCCACTTCCACGACACGGTGGGCCAGGCCGACAGCATGCACCACCACCACCACGACTACCACCACATCCTGCACCACCACCACTCCCAGAACCACCACCCTCACAGCCACTCCCACTCCTACTCGGAGCAGCACTTCCAGCAGGCCGGCGTGGCCACGCTCGCCTGGATGGTCATCATGGGAGACGGACTGCACAACTTCAGCGACGGCCTGGCTATCGGTCAGTGAGTGTTAGTGCCGCGTGACCTCAAATCAGTATGATGGTACTCTGGTGATGTCACTGTGGGGCTGATTACTAAACCACGAAATGAGACAAAATATGAAGGAATCAGAATGTGAACAGTTGTTATTGTACAAACTGCAGCGTAGTGAAATCAGTCCGAAACATATTTATTTAATATTGCTTCCTTTTCAAAACCAAACATGAAAATAGTGAACACTATAAAGTGTTCTTCTGCACAACACAAGAATGAGTTACAGCTGTGTGGAATTAACTTAAACTGGTGTACCTGTTCATTCACTATATATCCCAGCACTAGTAGGTCTAGTGTATAGGAATGTAAAGATGTTCGTAAGACAGTTTTGCAAAGAAAAGGAAACTCGTTGATGTACTCACCAGATGTTTGCATGTTACAGTAGAGAAGTAGTGGTGACGGTGGCTTTGAATGTTGTCCCTGGTTCTACAGGAGCTGCTTTCACCGAGGGTCTGTCCAGCGGTCTCAGTACTTCTGTGGCGGTTTTCTGTCACGAGCTGCCTCACGAGTTGGGTAAGACGGTCCGTCTGCTGTCAGTCCACATACGACCTCACTGGAGGAATTTTTACCAATAAAATCCTTCAGTCAGTTTTAGTATCATTAATGTATTCAGACTTTGTTAAATATCGTCACTAATGTTTGTCACTCAAATGTATTTTTGTCTTTTAGCAGAGTGAGGATAAAACCTATGATTCTGGTCTGGAGTTAACAGTTTCCTGTTTCCCAGGTGACTTTGCGGTGCTCCTGAAGGCAGGGATGACGGTGCGTCAGGCCATCCTGTACAACGTGTTGTCGGCCATGATGGCCTACTTTGGCATGGTGACGGGTATCTTGATCGGACACTACGCGGAGAACATCTCCATGTGGATATTCGCCCTCACAGCCGGACTCTTCATGTATGTGGCCCTGGTGGACATGGTGAGTCAGCGTTAGCTCCAGAACGCACTGCGGACGCTACAGCCGACAGTCACTGACAGATACTTTCTGCAGCTGTATGACAGGAAGTGTCTGCAGTGCTGTTACAACACAAACCTGCTGGACGTCAGCTTCCTTTCTGCGGTCATTTGTCACCAAAACAACTGAATTAACCACATTTCCACTGTGTCAGATTTGGAAAACCCCTGTTCCAGTCTGTGCGACTGTACATGATTTCAAATAAGTTTCAAATTATTCTTTCATCTGGATTTCTGCCGTTGATGGTATCTAAATACTGGGCTTCCAGCTCTAAGAGTCATGAATAACACCATCAGTAAGAAGCACATCATGTTTATTTAGGAAAGTAGTGTTTCTGTAGTGGAGACTAAACGTTAACAATGATCCATAT